GGGAGGCTTTCGGGCAGCGGGTCGGGGCGCGGGTGTCGGGAGCAGGCGCGGCTCAGCCCCGGGGCGGCGGGTGAACGTCCTCGGGCCGTGGGCGCGCCCTGCCCGGCTGCCTGCGCTCTCCGTCCGCAGGGCTGTGGGCGCAGCTGAGGCTGGTGGAGGACGGCGGAGGGCTGCGAGCGCCCGGGGAGACCGTGCGCCTCTCCTGCCGGGGATCCGGCTTCAGCTTCGGGCTTTACGCAGTTTGGTGGTACCGTCAGGCGGCCGGCGGCAGTCTCGAGTGGGTGTCCTACATCGAATGGGGTTCGGATTTTGTGAAGCAGTACGGGGCAGGAGTGCAGGGTCGAGCCGCAGTGTCCCGGGACAATTCCCGGTCCGAGTCGATTCTGTCCCTGCGAGACCTGCAGCCCCGGGACTCTGCCCGCTACTTCTGCGCTGTTGCACGGAGACAGGAAAACCAGCTGAGCTTTAACACAAACCTGCTGGAGCCCGGCCCACAATGTCAGAGCTGTGGGGCAACCGGCTGCTTTGGGTGGGGGCCTCAGGGGGGTTCCCAGGCAGTGAGGTTCCATCACTCTGCACTGCAGGAGTTCCTGGCCTTTCCTGCACGCTGCGGGAATTTTTACCTTATGGGAAATTAAAACAGAGCAGGATTGTGAGCAACAAAATCCTGGAAACACCTTCCTCTACACCTCGCACTTTCCTCCCTTGCTCAGCTTCATACCTTCATTCCCAAGTCCTCTACCTCCTCTGCCCAAGTGGCCCAGGGGTGATGGGGTTTGAGGTGAAATCATAACACTTCACCTCTACTGCTCCTTCCTCTCTCCCATGGTCTGCAGTCCTTCACAAATGGCTCCAGGATGGGTCCTTTTGGAGGGCTGCAGTCCTTCAGGATAAACATGGTCCAGCATCAGCTGTCCACAGGTCCCAGTTCCTGTCAGGGCACACTCATGTACTTTGCCATGTGATCCTACACAGGCTGCAGGGAAACAACTGTCCCACTGTGGCGTCTTCCATGGGCTGCAGGGGAAT